CTTCCTCTCCAGTCACCTCCTCCTCCTCCCTCTCCACACACGCCACCTTTCCTTCCTCTCCTTCCCAGTCACCCTTCCCCTCACCTCTCCTCCCTCTAACATAAGCCAAGTATCATTGAACATCATTTAATAGAACGCAAAAAAAAAGTCTTATGGGAAGTTAATCACAGAGAGGAAGGTAAGACTGGTTTCCTTCCTATCCTGATGTATTAACTTGTATTAAATCTAACACGAACAACAACACACGTATGATGATTATAAACGCCATAAAAAAGAGGTAAGATATTGTAAAACGCCGGAACAAAAGAGATACGATATTATAAATGCCGGAACAAAAGAGATGCAATAATATAAATGCCAGAACAAACAAATATGATAAGATAATATAAACGCCAAAACAAGAGATGCGATAATATAAATGCCAGAACAAAAGCGATGCAATAACATAAATGCCAGAACAAAAGCGATGCGATAACATAAACGCCAGAACAAAAGAGATATTATATTATAAACGCCATAACAAGAGATGATAATATATTTTCGCCAGAAGAAAAGAGGTGATAATATAGACTCCAGAAGAAAACAGATGTGATAATATAAATGCCAGAACAAAAGATATGTGATAATATAAAAACCAGAACAAAAGAGATGATAATATAGACGCCAGAACAAAACAGAAACCGTATTATAAACGACAGAGCAAAAGAGATGCGATAATATAAACGACAGAATAACAGATGTACAAGTAAATGAACACCACCCCTTGGTTAAACTCACAATAGCGACGTTCCTCAACACACACACACACACACCAGAATGCGGAGTCCATCCATCAGTGTCCAGACCTCAGCTATGGACGGGGTGAGTGAACTATGGAGGCTGCAGTTGATCCACAGTTTTTGTGCGAGATTAAAAGTATTAGAGAAAACCAATACTCTAACTAATTACTTGATAGGCCATGATTTGTGTGTGTGTGCTTGCTAACTTTAAACCCTGAAGGTAAGCATGTCTGAGATTTTAGCAGTCATAGGCGTTGAAAAGTTAGTAGTAGAGAGTAATTGTTGGCTCCAAACACTTAAAAACTTATTTACACACACACACACACACACACACACACACAGACACACACACACACACAGACACACACACACACACACACACACACACAGACACACACACAGACACACACACACACACACACACACACATACACACATTAATGAAGTAGATTGAATATTAAGTACCTGTAAAAGAGGTGAAAATCCTACCCATTAACCCATTAACAACGACGATAGTGAATAAATCCACAGCTTAACTTACATAACAATAATCTAGCTTTTGTTTATATTACGATACCTTACATGTCTTCATTTATTTCAGTATCAGAGAGAAAGAAATGCAAGATAATCGGTACTTACGGTGAATAATGACTAAATCTTTGAATTCTCTCTCTTTCTCTCTCTCTCTCTTTCTCTCATTTGTGAAGGAAACTTTGGTAATGTCTTTTAGTAGAAGTAAACAACTATCTTTTTCTTACTCTCTCTCCCGTCTCTCTTTCCTTCTTTTTCATCCTCTCTCTCTCTCTTCTTGTCTTACTCCTCTTTATCTTTCCCTTTCCCTCTCTCTCTCTCTCTCTCTCTCTCTCTCTCTCTCTCTCTCTCTCTCTCTCTCTCTCTCTCTCTCTCTCTCTCTCTCTCTCAACTCATGTGTGTAGGTTTTAAACAACACCTTTAAGGAGAGACGTGTACTGAATACATATACGACAGACAGAGACAGACAGACAGATAGAGACAGAAACAAACAAGACAGATTGACAGCTGAAACAGGAGATGAAACGGTTGTAAATACGGTATAAAACAATTGAAACGTGATACTACACAAAAAAACTGAAACTCTGCAATGAGATAAAACAAAGTTGTAATATGAATTGTACCGAGTGAGACACGAAACGAAACAGCTGAAACACACAAAGCGAAACAGACGACATATGAATCGATACAGCTGAAACATACAAGATACGAACTGAAACGGCTGAAACACAAAGCGAAACAGATGAAACGAAAAGGCTGAAACACAAAGCGAAACAGACGACATATGAATCGATACAGCTGAAACATACAAGATACGAACTGAAACGGCTGAAACACAAAGCGAAACAGATGAAACGAAACAGCTGAAACACACAAAACGAAACATACGACTTACGAGCTGAAATGGCTGAAACACAAAGCGAGACAGAGAGACCTATGAATCGATACAGGTGAAACAGGAAAATGAAACAAGTAGTTGTTTGTGATATGGCTAACGAGGAAAGAGCTACCCATTGACCCGTATCTGATTGCTGAGGAGAGGAGAGGAGAGGAGGGGGGAGGGAGGAAGGGTGGGATGAGTGGGGGAGGGAGGGATGAGGGGGAAAGGAGGAGGGAAGGGTAGTGGGAGGGAAGAAAGGAGGGGGTAGTAGGAGTGAGTGGGGGAGGGAGGGGTAGTGGGAGGGAAGGAAGGAGGGGCAGTAGGAGTGAGGGAGGGAGGGGTAGTGGGAGGGAAGGAAGGAGGGGTAGTAGGAGTGAGGGAGGGAGGGAGGGGTAGTGAGACGAATGAGGTAACAACGACTCATTATGATACTTACTCAATGTTCCCTTTTTCTCTCTTGATTTCGAAATTATGTCCGAACTTCAATTCAAGTTTCAGTCCAATGTTTGACTAGAGCTTCCAATCGACCTTTGAATAGAACCCCCGAACTTTAATCGGACTCTAAGAACCCTAATCAAGATATTCATCCTAGTTTTAATCACAATCTTCGTCCGAACCCGACCAAAAATTTCTCTTCAAACCTAAACTCGAATCTGCGTCCGAACCCTGACTTACAAATTCCGTTCGAACCTTTAGTGAGTATTTCATCTGAAAATTGATCAGAATAAAATAAACATCTTCCAAAAATTGACCAGAATTTTCCGTCCCAAACCATGGCTCGAATTGCCGTTCGAACCAATATCCGTTTACCAGGAGTAATGAAACTTGGAGGGGGAGGGGAAGGGTAGGGGAGCGGAGGAGGAAAGGGAGTGACGAGAACAGAGCGAGGGGGGGACCGGAGGTACTGGACTACCAGTAACGATGATTAATTGCCAGTGATCAGCCACAGTTATCAATGATCATTTAGCCTTGATCTCAACTGCCCGTCTGAACTAGGACCGAACCGCTCTCCACACACTGATTCGAGCTATAGTCCAAACCTTGACTCACATCCCGCCTATCAAACTTTGAGTCACTTCTAAAATTATACAATCCAATCTGAATCTGAACAGTGATTCGAATCCACTCATCGAAACTTTGAATCAACTCCTAAAACTTTCAATTGAATCTCTGGTCTGAAAACTTAATTCATCTAAACTTTGAATGAATTAAACCTCAACAAGTTATATCAAACTTACTATATATAACTTCAACATTACAAAGACAAACATCCATCCACATTCCTACACATTCACTCAGTCCCACATTCACCTGATCCACACACACACACACACCTCCGTCCACCCACACCTCCATCTCCCACACATACACACACACACACACACACACTCAAAGTCCACCCACACACTCCATCTCCCACACATACACACACACACACACACACACCTCCCGTCCACCCACACACACCTCCATCTCCCACACACACACACACACACTCCGTCCACCCACACACACTCCATCTCCCACACACACACACACAAAGTCCATCTCCCAAACTCCCACACACAGGAACCATTAATTTAAAAACAGATGGAGAGAGATATCACTTCTGACGCCTTGACCATTGAGCTAACACAACTTCTATACATATATATAACCCCATCAGCTACCGGGGTGCAGTGTTAGTGGTGACATATGACGAAACGATCATCTTTATTTACTAGTTGGTCACCCGTTTGTTTATGTTAAGGATGTCAGCTGATTGGACGAACTAAACACCGAGGGTAAAGTGACAATACTATTTTTTTTTCCTTTTGACATCCATTGAAATTATTGTTATTATTATTATTATTATTATTATTATTATTATTATTATTATTATTATTATTTTCATTGTTATTGTTATTATTATTACTTTTATTATTATTATTAGTGGTAGTAGTAGTATTACATTTATTTTAACCCTCGTCCAATATTGATGAAGGAATATTGAAATCTGTATCGTGTGTGTGTGTGTGTGTGTGTGTGTGTGTGTGTGTGTGTGTGTGTGTGTGTGTGTGTGTGTGTGTGTGTGTGTGTGTGTTACTCTCATGGACGGGTTAACACTACGCTCTGTGGACACTATTATTAATACCCCTCACAGGTGTTTACAGAGGTCAAAGGTGAAGGTCAGAGTTGAGGAGACCTGACCGAGGACGTCTTATCAGCAGTGTGGGCCGTGTGGTGTCTGACGGATCACCTGAACATTAGACACCCCAGCTTATCTTACACCAAGATTAACCGCCTTAATGCTAACCTACCCTAACTTTCTCGAAATGACAACATACATATAAAGCTTCATCTCAGTCTCACAGATTATTGAGGCCATGAAGCGGACACGAACATACAAACACACAAATAAAAAACAATCGGAATGCCTCGTCATATTTCTGGGAAGAGGAGGAGGTGGAGGAGGAAAGAGGAGGAGGAGGAGGAGGAGGAGGAGGAGGAGGAGGAGGAGGAAAGAGGAGGAGGAGGAGGAGGAGGAGGAGGTGGAGGAGGAGAAGAGGGAGGAGGAGGAGGAGGGAGGAGGAGGAGGAGGAGGAGGAGAAGAGGAGGAGGAGGAGGAGGGAGAGGAGGAGGAGGAGGTGGAGGAGGAGGAGAAAGAGGAGGAGGTGGAGGAGGAGGAGAAAGGAGGAGGAGGAGGAGGAGGAGGAGGAGGAGGAGGAGGAGGAAGCAGGAGGGGGCATATTAAAAGTACGAGTAATAATAGACGAGGGGGGGGGAGGGACGGATAATAATTAAAGGTAACAATAATAACAGTTGCTCACCTGTAACATGGGGATGAAATAACAGAGGAAACTCCCGAAGGTCCAGTTCTGTAGGAGTAACACCGTCAGTGAGAGCGGCAGCAGCACCACGCTCATCATCACGTTACACACACCCAGGTTCATGAGGTAGGCGCTGGTGGGGTCCCTGTACAGACGTCGACGAACGATGTAGCTCACCATAGCGACGTTCATAGCCGTGCCAGCCACCGCCAGGGAGCCATACAGCGCCAGGAACAGCGGGTATATCCCCAGCAGCGACTGACGGAGGTGAGGCTGGCTGAAGTCAACCGTCTCGTTGGGTAGATTCTGTAGGTTGTGGATGATCTGACCCAGGAGCTTGTCTGGCAGGTCCTGTAGGTCAGGCTTCAGCCCCACCATCATTAGTATTTTTTTCTTCAATTCTTCTTCCTAACTCTTTCCTTCCTTCCTTCCTTCCTTCTTTGAGCTTCCTGTCTCCCTTCTCCGTCTCTCTTTTTAATTCAATTCTCCTTCTCGATATAAATTTTCCTTGCGTCCTGTTTCACTCCTACCTTCTTCCTTCTCCGTTTCTTCCTCTTCTTTACGTCCTCCTTTCCTTCTTTTTCCGTATGTTCTTCAAATCTCCCAAACTTGTCTCTTCCTCTTTGTTTTGATCTTCCCTTCCTTCCTCCTCCTCCTTCTAAAACAAAAAAACAAAAACACGAAAGGGTTGGCCACCGAGCGCTTTAAAACACTATATTTTTTCCCCTTATCTGTTTATCCGTCTCCAGTAACTCCCCCACTCACAGTTACACGAGACAAGGGACAACTGCACTGAATTTTGGCGGGTTGACAACAATCTGCCTGTATTTTCCTCTGTAACATCCCACTTAAAGGTCCAGTTCAGAGGTGGTGGTGGTGATACAAAAAACTGTATTTTACTCTGCAATATCTCAGTTCAAAACACTATGGAAAAACGAGTCGCTGTAAGCTTTTAAAGCTGTATCGCGAATTTCTGATACTAATCTTTATCTGTAATTTCAGACGCCAATTTTCTTCACTATATCGTTAATATCAGACACTGTAATCGTAATTTCAGACATGGTAAGACGTCATCTGTATCTCTATTGCAAAATATTTCAGTACTGGAGAAATACCTACGAGACAGAACTAACACAAGTACTGTTTTAAATCTCCCGGTAACATGCAACGCCGTAATATTGAATCAATCATGGATGGAATTTTAAAATGAAAAGCCAAGAATTTTAAAACTTTGCAAAAGATATTGGCTGGTGGATATCAACTTCTGCTAGGATGCATGGCGGGGAGAGGTGGGGGGGGAGGGGGGGGGTCTGATGGCGCCGCTAGAACGCACTCATGTTTACACCATTTTCTGTGAATAATTTCTTCTTAATGTAATATTTTACTATTTATACGACAATTTAAATGAGTATAAATTTAATATGAAGCTTTGAGACAGATTTATAATTACTATCACGTTATCAAAGTAATAACTATTTTACACTACCAGTAAACAGTCCGAGCTTGTTGTTACGTCTAGTAATTAAAACAAAAATTACTTCAGTTAACTCTACCAAAACCACACATATGAAATGATTAATAACGATTTATTTTTACACGACGTAATAATAAATCATATAACAATTACGATAATAATAATAATAATAATCATAAACGAAAGCTGTTTATCGAATTATTTCCGCCTCGTGTTATCATTATTTCACATGAAGATTTGATTATTAAATGTCATATTTACTTGAAATTTTATAATATTTAACAAATGATCATCGTTCCTCTTGTGTAATGGATACGAGACTTTTCACTGGTAGAGATGATGACGATGAGGTATGCGGAGGGAAGGTTCCTGCTGTGCCCTGAATACTACTGATGAGAGGTGATTTCAGAGACAGTTTCCGTAGCAGTTTTGAAGGAGATTCGTTATCGAGTGTGGAGTTTCGCTATTGGTGGAGATGGTTTAAAGGAGGTTCGTTATTGGTGGATCAGTGTATGCAGAAGGCTCGCTATTGGTGGAGATAATCTAACGGCGGCTTGTCATTGGTAGAGACGACAAAGGCTCCTGGATACGCCCCTCTGGTAGCATCAACCTAGAAAACAATAAGGTACAACATAATTAAACTAATGAAGCTCTCTGACAGTTAATTTAAGCTCAGAAACATCAAATACTTCCCGACCTCCCTGTGACCTCTGACCTCCCTGTGATCTTGACCTTTAACCTCTGATCTCCGTTACCTTGACCTCCCTGTGACCTTGATCGCTGATATTCCGTGACCTTGACCTCTACCCTCCTGTGACTTTGACCTCTACCCTCCTGTGACGACCTCTGACCTCCCTGTGACCCTGACCTCTAACCTCCAGTGACCTTTTGCTTGATATAAATAAATTAGTCTTTTTGAGGGAATCTTTGTACCAAAATATCGGATCACATGAAGATTAGACACCCAGCCAGCTTATTTCACCTGATGATTTAAAACGCCCTAACGCTGCCTGGAAGAAGTTAGGTTAGATTTGGTTAGGTTAGGTTAGGTTAGGTTAGGTTAGGTGGGGTTAGGTTAGGTTAGGTTAGATCGCTATGCTAGATTAGGATAAGAGCGTTAAGTTAAATTAAATTAGGTTAGAATAGCGTTAGGTTAGGTTTCGTCAGATTAAGTTAGGTTAGATTTGGTTAGTATTGCGTTAAGTTAAATTAGATTGTTAGGTTAGGACAACGTTAAGTGGATTAATCTTGAGAAGAAATAAGCTAGGTTAAGTTGGGTTAAGCTAGGTTAGGTTAGGTTTAAGTTAAATTAAGTTAAGTTAGGTTAGGTTAAGCTAGGGTGTCTAATTTTCACGTGACAATACAAAAACAAATAAAAACCCCGGTAACGCTAAAGTCAACGGCATATTTATCGTCAACTATTTCAATAAGCAATAGTCTCCATTCTTGGGACCATAAAACTACATTACAAAACATCTACATCACCTTGTCTTCTGTGAGGTGAGAAGACAATCAGGTGGTTTTAGTTTTTGAAGACAAGTGGAGTTGATAGAGCAGAGTTTTATAACACAGTTGTTGTTTTTTTTCTTATTTCCCGGGAAGAAAGTTAATATTTTGTTTTGGTAGTTGACCATCAGCCAGCCTCCTCCCCGACAACCGAGAGATATGGAGAAGTTTGTGTAAAGAGATGGGGTGGGGGTGAGTGAGGGTGGGTGAGTGAGGGTGGGTGAGAGGGTGGATGAGTGGGTGGATGAGTGGGTGGATGAGTGGGTGGATGAGTGAGGGTGGGAGAGTGAGAGGGTGGATGAGTGGGTGGATGAGTGAGGGTGGATGAGTGGGTGGGGTGAGAGGGTGATTATGGGAATGGATGACCGAAAGAGGTTGTAGAAAGAGCGAGAGAGAGAATGTTGTAAAGAGACAGACCGTGTGACATTGGTGTTGACTAGAGAGAGAGAGAGAGAGAGAGAGAACTTAATACCCCTCTGAACTCACTTAATAATCCGTCATTTATATATTCAATCTCCCGAAACGACATATAAAGAATACAAACTCAGAACAACAACAACTTAACTCTTTACAGGTCGCTCAAGAACACGGCGCCATAACAAAGAACACGGCGCCATAACAAAGAACAAGGCGCCATAACAAAGAACACGGCGCCATAACAAAGAACACGGCGCCATAACAAAGAACATATCGCCATAACAAAGAATCCGGAGCCATAACAAAGAACACGGCGCCATAACCATAACAAAAGAACAGCGCCGCCAACAAAACACGGCGCCATAACAAAATGTCGCCATAACAAGAACGGCGCCACCAACAAAAAGAACACGGCGCCGCAACAAAAGAACACGGCGCCATAACAAAGAACACGGCATATAACAAAAGAACACGGAGCCATAACAAAGACACGGCGCCATAACCAAAGAACACGGCGCCACCAACAAAGAACGGCGCCGCAACAAGAACACGGCGCCGCAACAAAGAACTGCAGCGCCATAACAAGAACACGGCGCCATAACAAAACATATCGCCATAACAAAATCCGGAGCCATAACAAAGAACACGGCGCCATAACAAAAGAACACGGCGCCATAACAAAGAACACGGCGCCATAACAAAGAACACGGCATATAACAGAAAATGTCGCCATAACAAGAACACAGCGCCATAACAAAGAACACAGCGCGCCATAACAAAAGAACACGGCGCCATAACAAAAGAACACGGCGCCGCCAACAAAACACAGACCATAACAAAGAACACGGCGCCATAACAAAGAACTGCGGCGCCGCCAACAAGAACGCAGCGCCGCCAACAAAGAACGCAGCGCCATAACAAAACACGGCGCCATAACCAAAGAACATATCGCCATAACAAAGAATCCGGAGCCATAACAAAAGACACGGCATATAACAAAACACGGCGCCATAACCACAAAAGAACACGGCGCCGCAACAAAGAACACGGCGCCACCCAACAAGAAAATGTCGCCATAACAAAAGAACACGGCGCCATAACAAGAACACGGCGCGCCATAACAAAGAACACGGCGCCATAACAAACGGCATCATAACCCAGAGAACACGGTGCCGCAACAAAGAACACGGCGCCATAACAAAGACACGACTCATAACAAAGAACACGGTGCCACCAACAAATAAAATGTCGCCATAACAAAGAACGCGGCACCATAACAAAGAACACGGCACCATAACAAAGAACACGGCGCCATAACAAAGAACACGGCGCCATAACAAAGAACACGGCGCCATAACAAAGAACACGGCGCCATAACAAAGAACACGGCGCCATAACAAAGAACACGGCATCATAACAAAGAACACGGTGCCATAACAAAGAACACGGCGCCATAACAAAGAACACGGTGCCATAACAAAGAATCCGGCGCCATAACAAATAAAATGTCGCCATAACAAAGAACGCGGCGCCATAACAAAGAACGCGGCGCCATAACAAAGGAAATATCTAACGAATCAAAATTTTATGAAAGACTAGAAATTAAATTAAGTTTACATTATTACTTCAAATTATTTTCAGTTCCAGTTAGAATATTATAAGATTAAATCATACAGTATATATATATATATATATATATATAACACTCCGCTTCTAATTAAATTACTACATGACACTGACGAGAGGAAAAATCTACAATAATTCCAACATTTCTGGTGTACGACAGTTTCTACCGTGGTGGTTGCTGGAGGGAGTTCATCTGCCGCGCTGCCAGACGATACTACTAGTAGTGTTTTTATCTGCCACACTGCCAGATGTATTGCATTTCCTTATATTTTTCTATCACATTACCCATTATTAGCGTATTTACATTCGGCTGCAACATTGTTTATAAGAGTCTCTCAGGCTGATAGATAATATA